TTTACTGTTAATATGATGATTGTGATCCATTAACATGTAGTACTACAGATCATCATGATTTGTGCAATTATTATATTAGATCAGAATTATCTAAATGTTTGCGCTTACATACTTTTCCTCCAGTTCCCACCGACCCACCAGGTGCCCTCAAAGTTGGCGATGTTACCAAGGAATCTGCTCAACTCGCATGGGATAAACCTGTGTCTGACGGTGGCAGTCCAGTGAAAGGTTACAACATTGAGAAGAGAGAAGTTGGCAAAGACAATTGGGAGAAATGTAATAAAGCCCCAGTTAAGGATGAGAACTTTAAGGTTGAAGGTTTGGAAGAAGACAAGGAGTACGAGTTCCGTGTTATGGCAGAGAATGAAGCTGGTATTAGTGAACCAAGTGAAGCTTCTGAACCAATCATTGCAAAAGATCCAAAAGGCGAGTGTCTTGTATTTACTGATTTTTAAAGTAGATTAAGTTGTGTATAACAACCAATTTTGGTTGTCTAAAAAACCCAGAACCGGAACCTGACTGGAACGTAAAATTAAAAATATTTGGGTGTACAGGTTGTTTAATATAAGTGATATTGCATTAATGGACTTAGTTTGTTAATATTATTTTTTTATTATATTATTTGTAGTTGTGTGTACACTCATTCTAATAATGTGGCTGAAATAATAGGCAGAAAGCGCATGTTTACGATGTTTTCCGCTTGAGGCGCACTTCACGTCTTGGGGCGATGTGTTACACTTAAATCCTGTAATGTCCTTGTTGCTTTTAAATATTTTTAATTTTACGTTCCGGTTCAGATTCCATTTTTTTGGACAACCACCAATTTTGGCATTAATATTGGTTAATCTGGAAGTAACAGTCACTGCATAACAGTCACTGCGAAGCACATGTTGCAATTTTGTGGATATGACCTGATATGATAACTGTGGTACTTTAATACAATGCTTTCATTATTTATTTCACTATTTTAAGGCTTGATGAACGTATGTGTGTATGAACTCTGATATTTGTTTTAAAGTCTCACCTTTACATGTTATGGAATATGAGGTTATTACAAGGATACCTCAAAGTATGCACGAAGACAGTACAGCGACAGTAACGACCAACGCGCAGCGGAGGTCGATACGACGATGGACTGTCTGAGTGCATACTTTAAGGTATCCTCGTAATAACCTTATTATTATACATCTTTTCCTTCCAAGGAGATACATGTACATCATGGGAATGCCAAAATCCAAAAAAGTTTAGAACTGAATTAGCGAACTTCTCTGTGTGGAGTCCGGTCAAACCCTGGTGGCAGCCATGTTTGTTTTTATTATTAGAGAACGCTTATGCACGTAATCATTCCATATTTGGAATTCGCATTTCCTTATATGGTAGGATGAAAATACCCCATAAAATACCGCAAAACTACGCGACGCTGTAACTTATGGCGTTACGGTGACAGATGTATCATAATAATATATTTTATGATCGTTAGAAAGTTCTTAAATCTTAGACTAATACTATTATTCTGTGTTTATGAAATTTATCTTATGATCGTTAGACGGATGTATATAATGTTTTTCATTCTTGTATACAGTTGCTCCACAGATTGACCTGTCCAATTTCCCTAAAGAAATCACTGTTAAAGCCGGACAGATGTTCAAAGCCAGTGCACCATTCTCTGGGAGTCCTGCTCCTGAAGCAAAATGGATGAAAGATGGTAAAGAAGTGACTCCTGATAACACTGTGAAAGTTAACTCAACACCTACAGAGAGTACTCTGATTAATAGAACAGCAGAGAGACTAGATACTGGGGTGTATCAATTGGTTGTTAGTAATGATTCAGGCACTGAAACTGTTGATGTCAAAGTAAATGTCTTAGGTAAATGTTTATCCTCCCTTTCTGTGTCACCTGAGGGCGCTATCACTGTGGTAGGTAATGTCACAGATACAGCATGACTTTATTCATGAAATTGTCAATGATAAAACAAAATCTCATTAGTTCTTGTTCAGAAGCAGTCTGAAACTAAGACTTATCTCAAACGTGCCTTAATTGGCCGATTTATTCAAACATTCAAACTTCACAGACACATCATATATTTTGGGATATATATGTACGTCTATTCATTTCATGATCTCATTGAAGTTGGTTGAATGGTGGCCATTATACTGTTAAAAAATTTCTGCTATTCCTGAACCAGATTTTGGTATAGATGGATTTTGTTCAAACTTGATACATATATTCTACATTATGAAAACTGCACGTTGTGTGTTTTAGATCAGATTGATAATGACCAACTGCTCAAACTTCATAAATATATATAATACATTTTGTTATGCATGTGTATTTGTATTGTATTCAGATTCAAGATGGTCAAATGGGGGCCATATTAATGTTGAAAATCATCAAAATCAAGCATTTCTCCCAGATCTTGTTTATACATAGGCAGTTATTGTCAATCGTGGTACATACATTGAACATATAAATAACGGACCATAATTATTTTGCAGACATAATTCTTAAAATGGCTGATTGCAAATGCTGTTCTAGAGCCATTTCAATGACATACATTGACTGATCTCAATCAAACTTTACAACTACATTATATATCATTTCATTTATTTCATGTTCTGTTTCAAAATGACTGACTCATTTCAGTTTCATTTTGTGTACTCCTGAACCATCAAGTCATGAAATAAGTTGTTTACATAGTTTTCACATTGTTCCAAAATAGCAGTGTATGATTGCTAAGTTGACACTGCCATGTTCTTGAAATAACTATACTTTGGTCACACTACTCTTTCTCTACTAAAATAACAACTTTGTTCACGGTATTAATTCTTTTCTTTTGGGCAGACAAACCAGCTGCACCAGAGGGTCCCCTTGACGTCAGTGATGTTTATGCAGAATCTTGCAAACTTCATTGGAACCCACCTAAAGATGATGGTGGCTGTGAAATACTTAACTATATCATTGAAAAACGTGATGCAAACCGAGCCACATGGACACCAGTTAGCGATGATGTTCCAGCTGATGCTACCTCGTTTGATGTCAAAAAACTTGTTCCTGGGAATAAGTTTGATTTCAGAGTTCGTGCTGAGAATAAGGAAGGTGTGAGTGATCCTTTGGCAACGACTGAACCCACATTAGCTAAGAATCCATATGGTAAGTAGTGATTTAGATACTCACTAGACATCAGCAATTTGCTGATATATTTTTCAATATGTCCGAATTTTGTTCAATCATTTTTAACAAAGGGCCTAAGGGTTTTCTGTTAAATTTACTGTTTTACGTCCAAAATATGGTAAATACTGTGAAATTCTTTATTTTGATGTGGATCTTATTTTTGCAGAAGGCAATTTTTCACAGAATTAACTTTCATGCATACATCTATAATTAAATATCATGAAGTGTCTTGGATAATAAAGTAAATGATAAATGAGTAGACACTAAACAAACTACTATTCTTCAGGGGTTTTACAAATGCATTTAATAGCAGGTCATCATCTGTAACAACAGGGCAAAAAACGCTGCAATAAGATTGGCGTAAGTGGTCAGTGGAGGGGGAGAGAGCGAAAAGTAAACGACGTATTTGGGCTTGGGCCATATGGCCAGTGGCCAGCTGTTAAGGAAACCCTTGATCCTTATGTAAGAATATGAGTAATTAATAAATGACCCCATGATAACATTTGCCCATGACGCTTGAAATTTAACTAATGATGCTCAAATTGCTTTATTTACGAGTGTCATGCAGTCATGCAGTCAATTAAAACAATAAAATGCATTGATTGATTCCAAATGAAGTCACATCAGAAGGAAAACTACTGTAGATTGAGGCAGGTTTTATCCAGTTGCAGACAAAACAGCAAATAAAAAATGAGACAAACCCTGACCTCTGGAAATACCTCATTCATTGACTACCTTAGTGGTGGAGATCGCCATGCGCATACAATGTGCTCTGTGACATCGCGACTGATGACAAAAGGGATTTTGATCAGGGTAACAAAGATGGCAGCGCAGAATGCATGATATTTAAAAACAATATCTTGATGCCGAATTTGGTGTAATTAAGTATTGTGACACTAAAAGGTACTGATGATCACAACAGTGCATTGTAATGCTGTCAGCGAGCAATGTTACAGTGATTGTAGCATTACCGTATAGTTTCATACAAAATCATTTACTTCACTTTTGAAATGCTAAATAAAGTATTTCACAGTAATTAGATATGTCGATCTCATTGTGCTAGTTGACATTTTGGAGGATATGTACTATATTTTGTCTGTTGTGCCATTTTGGTAAGCAAGTGCCAACATACCTTTTTGGAATATTCCTGAATATTCAATGTTTGAGGGAACTATGAGGGTAAATGGTTACTTCAACAGCATCGTATGGTTGAAAAGTGATGAACATTGGTTGCCATAGTAACACTACTAAGCTACAACTTTGACATGTCCACCAAAGAATTTCATATCCTCTGAGCTTTCCTGACCTGCAAAATGATACAGATGCTCATAGAATAATTAGAACATCAAGTCAAGCAGCTTTCGTCACCATGTTGTCTTTGATGACGTTATGGTATCATCATTGCATTATATAGAGTCAAATAAAATATTGTATTGTTTAATGTAGAAATCACTTCTAATCTTACCAAGTTTTATTCTAGTATGATGTAATATATAAAATTTTCAATATTATTTATTATCCAGATGAACCAGAATCACCAGGTGTGCCGGTAATTGAAGACTATGATAAAGACTTCATAGATCTGGCATGGGAAGAACCAAAGGATGATGGAGGAGCTCCAATTGAGAGGTATCTAGTAGAGAAGAGAGACAAGGCAAACAACAGATGGGTACCAGCTTTTGAAGAACCTATTAAAGGCACTAAATGCAAAGTCACTGATTTAATACCAGGTCATGACTATGACTTCCGTGTGAGTGCCATCAACAAAGCTGGCAAGGGTAAACCAAGTGAAGCTTCTAATACACAGAAAGTCAAGGCTAAGTATGGTGAGACTTGTTTTCTGTTTCATAGTATCTTCTGTCAATCCAAATCAACTATTTCTTCATGTATTCAAAAGAATTATTTACTGTAAAATGACTAATTTTCGCTGGGTTTAAATTTCACTTATTTAGCATTTCAGACATATTCAGTGGGTTTTAAATTCACAGTTATATCATTCAGATAATGTGTTCTATGCTCAATTTTACATATTCACCTGGTTTTAATTTAGCGCATTTTGCAGTCAGTGGAATAAGCAAAATTAAAACCCAGTGAATAATTTACCCTTTTACATTAATAAATGTCTTAAAAACTTTTTTAATTCAAAAAAATATATATACCATCATATAATTTAATTTGTGTGTTACAATGAGAAAATAAATCACAATAAAATATAAAATAAATGATGACCACTCTTTTGTTAAATCAGTTTTTATTTTTGTTTTGTTTCTAAGCATGCACAAATTTTCCAAATATTATCATCTACTTTGAGTTGTTTTACTCAGTTTTACATCCCAAAATATTATTATTACTTTACATTGATAGTTGGTTCGTAAGCAAAGATGGTGACTAGATTTCAATTTTACTGATAAAATATCCTTTTGACCCCCTCATCTTTTTAAATAGATGAATACCAGTGTGAGAAAAAATGCTGTGAAAATTGATACATTAACGAAAGTTTTTAAATATGATTGCAGAAAAACCAAGCTTTGATCCAAGTGCGATGAGAGACATCAAAGTAAAGGCTGGTCAGAACTTTAAGATCTCTGTACCTATTGATGGTGCACCACCACCAACAGTGACATGGAAGAAAAATGGAGAAGAAATCAAACCGTCGGATAGAGTGAAAGATAATTCAACTGAAACAAATGCTGATTTATTGACCAATGCAGCAGAACGTGGTGACACCGGAGAGTATGAATTGGTGCTGACTAATGATCAAGGAACTGTCAGTACTAAATGCAAAGTTAATGTCTTAGGTAAGAGAACATTCACTAAGATGCTGTGATTCTAGCTTAGGTGGCAGTCTGTGTAAATCTTGGAAGACTTGGGAGATTACATGGTCAAATAAGATGTAGACTGTATAAAAAGAACTGGCTTTAATAGGTGGGCTAACAAAGTGGTCTGTGTCTGCCCAGAAAGTTCCTGTTACAATAATATTAATATAATAGTGTACATCTGGGCAGGACTAAATCAATTAAGGTATATTGAGTGAGCTATGTGCTTATGGTTGAATACATGTATGCTATGAACTCAGTATAAAAGACCTTTCTTAGGTGGGCTAAAATTCATTTATGTTGATTTACCTACATGTACATGAGGTGAGGACATTATGTCTTCAGAGTGTCTGTCTGTATTTTATTTATTTATTTATTAACACACAACATCCCCCGGAGGTGATGAAAAGGGTTACAAATCAAATATTAGTAAAAGAAAAATAACTACATAAAAAGTAAGAGAACAAAAAAGCATTAAAAAAAAAAAAGAAAGATAAATTTGTATACAAGGAATGTGTTACTGGCTTAGTTTATGTAGGTGCTGCTGTCTTGTATTAAAACAGTTTTTAGCTCCGCTGTCGACTTTGTCGAGCGGAGCTTATCATATGAGTGATTGTCTGTCGTCCGTGTCAATGTTTTACTTTTTCGACTTCTTCTTGAAAACTACAAGCCTGAATGCTTTGATACTTGGTGTATATGTACCTTGGGTAGACCTCTCTTAGATTTGTTCATTTCATGTTGATATCTTCAATTTACGAATGTGCTATATACTGTGTATATCTGAATACCATACTCGCCTCTGAAAGTTCCACATCTTATAAAATAAGAAATTCAAGTTCGAAATCAAATCATTCATTATTTGTGACAGACATTCGGTCTGGGCCTTTCACGCAACTATGCAAGTTCTCGCAGCGAACCAAAAAATTATCTATGTAATGATATTTTGTTGCTCTTTGAAAGTTGATAATAATTTGAAGGCATCTGTAAAGTCATTGTGACGTCTTTGATGAACCACAGTGAAAAGTTTACTAATCTAAATTTGACAATTGTTTTTAACTAGCCCAATTCATAAAACTTCCCCTGAAATTAAATGTTTTTATTTTTCCTGCTAAATTTTGCATATTTCATGTATTTTTCTTTAATTTCTTTGTTAGCTCCGCTGTCGACTTTGTCGAGCGGAGCTTATCATATGAGTGATTGTCCGTCGTCCTTGTCAATGTTTTATATTTTCGACTTCTTCTTGAAAACTACAAGTTTGAATGCTTTGATACTTGGTGTATATGTACCTTGGGTAGACCTCTCTCAGATTTGTTCATTTCATGATCATATCTTCAATTCTCTAATTTTGGTGAATATTTTTGTAATTTTTGGTAAAAAGTGATATTTTCGACTTCTTGTTAAAAACCAATAGTTCAATTGCTTTGATATTACATATATAGATACTACATGTAGACCTTTCTCAGATTTGTTCATTTTGTGATGATATCTTCAGTTCTCTAATTTTGGTGAATATTTTTGTCATTTTTGGTAAAAAGTGATATTTTCGACTTCTTGTTGAAAACTGTAAGTCCGATTGCTTTGATATTACATATATAGGTACTACATGTGGACCTCTCTCAGATTTGTTCATTTTGTGATGATATCTTCAATTCTCTAATTAATTTATTTTGGTGAATATTTTTGTAATTTTTGGTAAAAAGTGATATTTTCGACTTCTTGTTAAAAACTGTAAGTCCGATTGCTTTGATACTATTCATATTGTTCATTTTCTAATGATGTCTTCAGTTCTTTAATTGAAATGTGCATTGCTAACAGCGGAGCTATCTCAGCCGAAGGCTGCTTGTTTAAATATTGCGCTAAAGGAATTGACATTTTCTCGTTACTTAGTAATGATATGAATTTATTTTCATTACTAAATTTGTCAAAATTTGGTATACGTTTATTAGCTACAATGTAAAGTTTTAATCTTATTTCGTTGTAATGAGGACAATTTATGACAAAATGTTGTTCATCTTCAACATGGTCATTGTCGCACATATTGCAGACTCTGTCTTTAAAATCCAAACCAATATGCCGGCCTGTTTCAATTTTCAGACAGTGGTTGCCAAGTCTAAATTTTGTTAAGGATTTGCGAAGTTCATTGTTTTTCATAATTGTTAAGTAGTTTTCTTGTTCAATTTTGGTTTTAAAAAGTTTGTAGGTTGTTAGTTTATTTTTAGAATTTGATTTTTTCCTAGTGTCATTATTTATTTCATTTTTCCACTCAGTTGTAAACTCTTCTTTTAATTTCTCATCAATTGTTTTTAGTTTTGATAATGAGATAATATTTGTTTCATTTAAAAGATAAGATAGTAGCGTGAGTCTGACAGACTCGGCTTCTGATTAAAAATTATACATGAATTATAGTGACACTCAAAATATTAAAGTTTCTCCTGAAAATCATTTTTTATTTTATCAGATAAACCAACTGCACCAGAGGGACCATTGGATGTATCAAATGTGACTGCCCATTCACTATCTCTGGCATGGAATCCACCAAAAGACAATGGTGGTACACCAATTGCAGCTTATGTTGTTGAGAAACGTGATACATCTGAAGCAGAATGGTCAACAGTTAGTAGTTTTGTAACAGTAACAAAGTGTGATGTTGGTAAACTGAAAGAAGGCAAAGAGTATGAATTCAGAGTGAGAGCAGAGAATGAACATGGTGGAGTTAGTGAACCTTTGATGACATCACAACCAATCCTTGCAAAGAACCCATATGGTGAGAAACTATTTTTATAATAATATTAATAATAATATTAATAAATGTGCTTTATTATGCCATAAATAAAAAAACAATAGGATATAGTAGACAATGAGAAAGTGCTATTGTACCCCAAGGTATTATAATTGTTATAAATGGCTAAGGGGGATTAGGAAGAGCAATGTATGTATAAGTGAAGAGGGGTGATATTGTGAAGATTTTGTGGAGGTGGCAAGAGTAGAAGGTGAGTTGGGAGAAAGAGGGGTAAGGAGGAGAAAAATAGAAGGGGTACAGGAGAGAAGAAGAACGGATTGAAAACCTGGTGTGAAGAAATACACAAGGTGAGAGGGGTAGAAGGATGGCAGAATGAATAAGGGAGAGGGTTATGTAGAGGAGAAAGGCAGAGAGGTAGAGAAAAAAAGAATAAAGGTTATGATCATGTTCCAAACTTGTGTGACAAATCTTTCCTCTTATGTTTACAGATCCTCCAGGTGCTCCTGGTAAACCAGATATTCCAGCTTATGATCGACATCAAATGGATCTGCAATGGACGGAACCCAATAATGATGGTGGTGCCCCAATCACTGGATATGTAATAGAAAAGAAGGACACCAAACTCAATCGTTGGGTGAAATGTAACAAATCTCCTGTTATTGGTACTAAATTTACAGTTACTGGTTTGTTTGAAGGGAAGGAATACCAATTTCGTGTTTTTGCTGAGAACAAAGCAGGTCTTGGTGAACCAAGTGAACCATCAAATTCTCAGATTGCAAAACCACAGTTTGGTAAGTTTAAGTTTAAACTTTAAACAGTTTAAAACTCCAGATATGGAGCATTTATTGGGAACGACAAGTCCACTTGCTTTGATGCTTGGTATATAGGTATTTCATAAGTGGACACCTTGAGTGGACCTTAGTCAGATTTGTTCTTTTTGTGACGATACCTTCAATTCTAGTTTTAGTAAATATTGTTGTCATTTATGGATAAATATGCTATTTTCAACTTCTTTTATAAAATGGTTAGCCTGATTGCTTTCATATTTTATGTGTAGACACATTGGGTGGACCTCAGACAGATTTGTTCATTTTTGTCAATAAATTTAACTTTTCTAGTTTTATTGAATATTTTTGTCATATTTGTTTAAATAACTATTTTCAAAAGTCTAACTACGCAGCGGAATTATATCATTCCTGTTAAGGTGTAGAAATTGATCACCAGTAATGTATTGGTTTGTAACACCAGACCCATAATAGGTAGACCTGAGTTCAATTATAACTTGGGTTGAACAGCAAAAATAGGTCAACCTACTCTGGATCAGTATCCCAAAGATGGTGAGACCAAAGTCATTGATCAAAAATTGATATGACTTTGCGGTAACTTTGGATTACGGTATATCCACAGGTGCTTGTGTTTGATTGGGCCTGATTGATGCCGGAATAGCATATTAAATTGCTATAATGCCATTATGGTGAAATATAGCAAAACATACATTATGTATGTTACATATAATTATGTATGTTATAGAGACCTCAGTCATCCTTTTTCTTGTTCCACAGAAAAGCCAAGAGTTGAACTTGATCCATTTATGCAAACCATCAAAGTACATGCTGGAGAGACACTTAAGATTGATGTGCCAATTGTTGGTAGTCCTCCACCGACAGTAACATGGTTCAAAGATAACAAACCAGTCTCTTCTAAGGATAGAACAACAATTGATGGCACTGATGAGAAAGCTTTATTAACCACAGTGGTGGCAGAGAGAGGTGATACTGGTACCTATAAGATACAACTAGAGAATAGTCAGGGAACAGACACTGCTGATATCAAAGTTATCGTGCTTGGTAAGAAATATAATGTTATTCTTGCAGAATGATACCTCAAAGAAGCATCAGACTGGAATCACAATCAGATCTAGGTCGCTGGTTCATGTTTTCATGTCCCGGAGCAAGGCACTAATTATTCATGCTGTGCTTATCTCCTCATGAGATTAAATGAAATTGGTTCCTGGTTTTACAATGATCCCTATGTGTTTATAGCTCTGATGTGCATTGTCAGTCTGAATGCTTCTCAGGAAATTGAGAATGATTTACAAATTGATTTTATTTATGTGTCACATTTTAAACAGCAAATTAGAAATGTAAAATTGTCCACATGTAACTGAACATTTAGCTAGCTTCAGACTGGTTAGACTGGCAAAGTCAAGACTTTTTAAAAAAAAAATTAATTGTCAATTTAGCCTTTTTAGCATGATCACGTAAAACTAGCATGACCGCGAAAAGAAATCCCAACTGGACACATCTGCAGGGGACCCCCTGCAATGGAGTGAAAACTGGAGCAGAATCACTCTGGTGATTATGCTAATTAAAAGTTACGTTCAAAACTTAAGTTCAGTTAGCTTGGTTTGTACTGTATATACCTATATATTTGTGTCTAATTTTCTAACTAAATGTATTTTTCTATCTATCTGAATCCCAAGTAACCAGGAGTAAAATGTAAATTGCTAGTGACACTTCTCTTGATTTATATGTCGCTGAGTATGCATGCCAGAATTATTTAATCTGACTTTTACTATTATTCTGGTAATCAGCATCAATAACATCATGGTTTTTATCACTCCAGATAAACCCAGTGCTCCTCAAGGACCATTGACCCCATCAGATGTGAACCGTGATTCAGTGACTCTCACATGGAAAGAACCTGAAGATGATGGTGGTGGTTTGATCAGTGCATATGTGGTTGAGAAGAAGAAAGTAAACGAAGACACATGGATTAAAGTATCAAACAGCGTACCATCCACTAAGTATACAGTAAAAATGCTAGATGAGAATCAGGATTATGTATTCAGAGTAAGGGCTACTAATCAGTATGGTGTTAGTGAGCCTTTGGAGTCAGCCAAACCGGTCACTGTTAAATTGCCATTTGGTAAGTCGATAACTCTTGGCTTCTGTGATTGCTTACTAAGAGACTACATAAAGTACAAAATACAATGCATTGTGAATCAAAGTTTGATTGGCTTGATGTGAATTGTATTCACCACTGTTGTCTAAAGCTGTAAACCAATATATGTGGCAGGAATAAACAAACATATCATTGGTCTTTAAATAAACATGTGGTTGTGTGATTGGTAACGTGATGATTAGATTGCTCTTGTTTCAAACCCAAAGATGTTCACTAAATTTATGGCAAATAGACCATTTATCATTTTCATTTATCCACTCAATTCATTTTTTCATTTTCATTTATCCACTCAATTCATTTATTTTCATTTATCCGCTCAATTTATTAATTTATTTTCATTTTTTCATTTAATTTATTTATTTATTTTCATTTATCCGCTAAATTTATTAATTTATTTTCATTTATCCATTCAATTCATTTATTTATTTATTTCCCTTTATCCATTCAATTCATTTATTCATTTTCATTTATCCACTCAATTCATTTATTTTCATTTATCCCCTCAATTTTTTTATTTTTTTTATTCATTTTCATTTATCCGTTCAATTTATTAATTTATTTTCATTTATCCATTCAATTTCATTTATTTATTTTCATTTATCCATTCAATTCATTTATTTATTTTCATTTATCCGCTCAGTTTAAATTTATTTTCATTTATCCATTCAATTCATTTATTTATTTATTCCCCTTTATCCATTCAATTCATTTATTTATTCTACTCTAGCAGTAGTTTTGGCTTTATGATCCATTTTGTAGTCCATACAACCAGTGATCTACGGAAGACTTTCAAAACCCCAACTTCTAAAAATGCTTAGACCATAGACCTGTCTTTTAAGGTCTATGGTTCTGAACCGAAACGGAGGTCGAACCGTTTGGTCTCTTGTATCCGCGCCGTACCGTGTGTAATTGAGGGGCAAGCCAGTGTAATTGCGTTTCGTATAAGGTAAGAACCAGCTGTTGAAACGTGAATTCACGACACCGGCATTCAGGCAAGGGATAAGTATAAAACCATGGATGAAGTCAATTATCATATCTTCAGGATAACCCTAATTATTTCGCCAGTCTTGACATTAACCGATAAAGCATAATGTTTATTTATCAACCAAATCCGGTGTCCACCTAGCCTGCTGCCCATCCAGCTCAAAGCCATCTATCTATCGAAACAACAATATATATGTCTTTTAAGGTCTATGCTTAGACTAAATAAGATAGTGACAGAAATATTGAAAAAGCATACATATGGCTCATCTGGGCAATTGACTCCATGAATTTAGAGTCTTCTTATGTGCTGTTATTTCATGGTATTTGTTCAATTTATTTAACGATAGATCCCCCGGATGCACCAGGAACTCCCAAAATCACAGACTATGACAGACATGCTATCAGTTTGGAATGGAAAAAACCTGACTATGATGGCGGCGATCCCATCATTGGTTACATCATTGAATGTAAAGATGCAGACAATTCACGTTGGGTCAAAGCAAATATCTCACCATGTCGTGACACTAAGTACACAGTTACTAATCTCAAAGAAGGATCCGAGTATGAATTCCGTGTAATGGCAGTTAACGAAGCTGGACCTGGCAAACCAAGTAGGGTGTCTGATAAACAAATGGCAAGGAACCCAGTCTGTAAGTACACTTAATTATTGCTCATAGTCAGTCAATCGTGAACTTCTGTAAATTGTCATAACTATGAGTTTCTAGTTAAGCACTGATAAAATGCAA